TTGCAGGATGTGAGCCTTGCCAGCTAAAGCAGAGAACTGGCTAAGGCAGCTTCACCCTGTTCTGACCATCGGAAAGCAAGTGACCCAAGAACTAGAAAGGCAAGCCTCACCCAGCCATTTATCCCTCCGCCTTTCAATTAACCCTACATGTGTTTTTTGGCCAGGTTGGCACAATAAACTAACTCAGCTAGTCAAACCATAAAAGAAGCTAGATTATATGAGTAAGAGTATGGTGTCAGGATTAAAGGAATGCTTATTAACATCCTCCAATATGCAAATGATACATCTTGCTTTCGGAAAGTGAGGAGAACTTGAAGCACTTGCTGATGAAGTTCAGAGATTGAAGCCTTCAGTATAAATTATAACTCAATGTAAAAAGAACCAAAATCCTCACAAATGGGCCAATAAACAACATCATAATAAATACAAAAAAAGAATGTATAATTAACTCCATAACCAATGCCGATGGAAGCAGTATTCAGGAAATCAAAGAGCACAGTGCATTGGGTAGATGTGTTGTGAAATACCTCCTTTAGATGTTAATAAGGAAAAAATGTTACTCTGAAGACAAAGGTACACCTGACTCAAGTCAGTCTATTTTCAATCGTTTCACATGCATGCAAAAGCTAAACAATGAATAAGGACGACTGAAAAAGAATTGACGCACTGCACACGGTGCTGGAGAAGAATATTGAGCTCACATGGACAGACAGAAGAAGGACCAAATGTGTCTTGGAAGAAGTACAGTCTTAATGTCCTTGAGAAGCAAGGCTGGTGGTTCCTCTTATCAGGGGTGATGAATCCCTGGGAAAGTAGATCAAGTTGACAAAATGGAGGGCCCATGAAGAAGAAGAAGGCCTTCAAAGAGATGAAGATAGTGGCTCCAACAGGGGGCCCAGACATTGTAATGCAAGTGTGGGTGGGGTGTATGATCAGGTAGTATTTCATGCTGTGGTACTTGGTATAGTTATGAGTCTGGACCAATTACAGGGCATCTAAAAATAACAACAAAGAATTGCAGGATACCAGAGTGATCTTACTAAATAAAGATTCCATCACCTCCTCTTTTGGTCTATAAGATACTATAAGGATATTGGACCTACTTGAGTACTAACTCAAGTACTCCCTCAATGCAAGAATACTTTCTACTATTAAATGGGCATTCTATGATGCTCACCTTCCCGACACAACCAC